TGAACTGAATTGAATCAACACTGAACTGAATTAAATCAATATGGAACTGAATTGAATCAACACTGAACTGAATTAAATCAACACTGAACTGAACTGAATCAACACTGAACTGAATTAAATCAATACTGAACTGAATTGAATCAACACTGAACTGAATCAACAGTGAACTGAATTAAATCAATACTGAACTGAATTAAATCAACACTGAACTGAATTGAATCAACACTGAACTGAATTAAATCAATACTGAACTGAATTAAATCAACACTGAACTGAATCAACAGTGAACTGAATTAAATCAATACTGAACTGAATTGAATCAACACTGAACTGAATTAAATCAACACTGAACTGAATTAAATCAATACTGAACTGAATTTAATCAATACTGAACTGAATCAAATCAACACTGAACTGAACTGAATCAACACTGAACTGAATTAAATCAACACTGAACTGAATTAAATCAATACTGAACTGAATTTAATCAATACTGAACTGAATTAAATCAACACTGAACTGAATTGAATCAACACTGAACTGAATTGAATCAACACTGAACTGAATTAAATCAATACTGAACTGAATTTAATCAATACTGAACTGAATTGAATCAACACTGAACTGAACTGAATCAACACTGAACTGAATTAAATCAATACTGAACTGAATTGAATCAACACTGAACTGAATCAACAGTGAACTGAATTAAATCAATACTGAACTGAATTAAATTAAATCAACACTGAACTGAATTGAATCAACACTGAACTGAATTAAATCAACACTGAACTGAATTAAATCAACACTGAACTGAATTAAATCAACACTGAACTGAATCAACAGTGAACTGAATTGATCTGAATATTGACGCTATAGTCTTTTTTTAATTTGTGTCATATATGATTCATTTGCATCATTGATTCGTTATTGATTAACTCTTTTGTCCTGTTTATTACGGTGAAGCTGCATTGAAACAGTCTGTTATATAAAGCGCTGTAGAAATAGAGCTTTATCCAACGCAGATTGTGAACTGAACTCTGTCCTAATGGAGTTTCGGCGTGTTGTTTCGAGTCATAATCTCATATCGCGGTGTAACCCGTCATCAATCATGCATCAGTCTGTGGATGTTCATGATCTCAGTTTGGCTTTAATAGAGTTTGTAGTTTGTAGAAACTTCGTGCATCTCCTTACTTTGTGGTTTGGCTCGGTTTCCAAGATCTCATTAGAAATCTCCTCCAGATCCGCTTTGGGAAAGTCGAGGCCTCAGGCGCGGAGCCCCTCCTCCACATGCTAATTTCTCTCCCACAGATTGGCTGGCTAATTTGGCCTCATTTGCATTTCCTCATACAGTGGATCAAAGGCAGGCCAAGTGAATTAGCATATTTGAGTTATAGATCAGCTGAAGCAGAACTCAATTACAACTCTTTATTCTCGTGATCGGGAGATGTTTGGTGTGTTTGGAGCTGCATGTGTTCGTTCGTTTGTTCGTTCTGTATGTTAACACTGAACACTGAACTGAATCAACACTGAAATGAATTAATCTGAATAATTACACTGCCATCTTCTATAATGATGCTTTATAGCTGAATGGAACTTGTTTCATAATTAATGAACTGTACTGTTTTTGAACTGAACTGGATCAACACTGAACTGAATTAACACTGAACTGAATCAACACTGAACTGAATCAACACTGAACTGAATTAACAATGAACTGAATTAACACTGAACTGGATCAACACTGAACTAAATTTACACTGAACTGAATTAACACTGAACTGAATCAACACTGAACTGAATTAACACTGAACTGAATTGACAATGAACTGAATTAACACTGAAATGAATCAACACTGAACTGAATTAACAATTAACTGAATTAACACTGAACTGAATCAACACTGAACTGAATTAACAATTAACTAAATCAACACTGAACTGAATCAACACTGAACTGAATCAACACTGAACTGAATTAACACTGAACTGAATCAACACTGAACTGAATCAACACTGAACTGAATTAACAATGAACTGAATTAACACTGAACTGGATCAACACTGAACTAAATTAACACTGAACTGAATTAACACTGAACTGAATCAACACTGAACTGAATCAACACTGAACTGAATTAACACTGAACTGAATTGACAATGAACTTAATTAACACTGAAATGAATTAACACTGAACTGAATTAACAATTAACTGAATTAACACTGAACTGAATCAACACTGAACTGAATTAACAATTAACTAAATCAACACTGAACTGAATCAACACTGAACTGAATCAACACTGAACTGAATTAACACTGAACTGAATTAACACTGAACTGAATTGAATCAACACTGAAATGAATTAATCTAAAAATAACACTAGTCTTCTGTAGAGATGCTTTATATCTGAATTGAACTTGTTTCATAATTAATTAACTAAATTGGATCAACACTGAACTGAATTGAACAAATACTGAACTGAATTTAATCAATAC